GGACACATGTTGATGTAGAAGAGACATGGAGAAGAGGGGACACATGTTGATGTAGAAGAGACATGAAGAAGAGGGGACACATGTTGATGTAGGAGAGACATGAAGAAGAGGGGACACATGTTGATGTAGATGAGACATGGAGAAGAGGGGACACATGTTGATGTAGAAGAGACATGAAGAAGAGGGGACACATGTTGATGTAGAAGAGACATGGAGAAGAGGGGACACATGTTGATGTAGAAGAGACATGAAGAAGAGGGGACACATGTTGATGTAGAAGAGACATGAAGAAGAGGGGACACATGTTGATGTAGAAGAGACATGGAGAAGAGGGGACACATGTTAATGTAGAAGAGACATGAAGAAGAGGGGACACATGTTGATGTAGAAGAGACATGAAGAAGAGGGGACACATGTTGATGTAGAAGAGACATGAAGAAGAGGGGACACATGTTGATGTAGAAGAGACATGAAGAAGAGGGGACACATGTTGATGTAGAAGAGACATGAAGAAGAGGGGGCACATGTTGATGTAGAAGAGACATGAAGAAGAGGGGACACATGTTGATGTAGAAGAGACATGAAGAAGAGGGGGCACATGTTGATGTAGAAGAGACATGAAGAAGAGGGGATACATGTTGATGTAGAAGAGACAAGGAGAAGAGGGGACACATGTTGATGTAGAAGAGACATGAAGAAGAGGGGACACATGTTGATGTAGAAGAGACATGAAGAAGAGGGGACACATGTTGATGTAGAAGAGACATGAAGAAGAGGGGGCACATGTTGATGTACAAGAGACATGGAGAAGAGGGGACACATGTTGATGTATAACCAGTGGCGAACCGTCAGGGCCTTCAAGGTATTCAGAGAATACCCTGGAACACTCAGATAAAACAAACAAAAAATCGATTTAATTATATAAATAAAATGTATATAAAATGAATAAATGAGAATCGTATCCGTGTTGTTGATCTGTAATATTACAGTGTTACGTTGATTTGTTTGTCCTTCTCGGACCATGCACTATGCATTTCAGTGGTTTTGTGTTAGAAAAGAAAGCAACCAATCAGATCTTGTTCTGGGTCTCTGGGTAGAATATCCTTCAACCAAGGTATTCTACATCCTTGATAGAATGCCCTGGCCGTTGCACTGAATGAGAGCGTACGTTTGGACTGACAGTTTGATCAACCAATCATATATTGATTTGTAGCCAATGGGCGTATTCTTTCAGAGTTTCCCTCGGTTCCAGGGTATTCTAGAAGGCCCGCTAGTTAACTGGCTCGAGACAGAGGATCTAGATGAATACGACGAAGCAATTCATGCCGTTTTATTGTTTTTAAGGTTGAAATGACAAGTGCAACAGGTGAAGAGGAAGTTGTTGAGGAATTGTTGTGAGTACCCTTCTCATGACAATTCAGTGAAAAGACGGACATTATAATGCCGCGGAGGGGGGGGGGGGGTGTGTCTACAGAAGTTGTGATAGGAACGGTTCGCCACTGTGTATAACAAATGTGAAAAAGTGGATTTTGCATAATAAGTGAGCTTTAATCACTGCTTTTAATTGAACTATTCACATCTTAAACTGCACTGTAACTTGTATCCATGTATTTTTTCTTTTAATGTTTATTTTATTATCTTTTCTTTTTAAAGACTGATTTTAAATGCCATTTTCTTAATGTCTTTCGTTTTTTGTAAAGCACTTTGAATTGCCTTGTGTTGAAAGGTGTTATATAAATAAACTTGCCTTGCCTTGCCTTTATGTAAGAAGCAGCAAATGCTGTGCGCTTGTTCTGGAATGTCTTAATCAAAATTGAATTGTTTGTGGTTTGCTAATTTCTCAAGACATATCTGTAAAAGCCTTTCAATTCACTGTTTCCTGATGTGACAGTAAAGAGTGAATCGGGTTGATGAAGCAGGTTAAGGTTAGTGGAGCACCATGGTCCCAATAATAAGCATGTGGCTAAGGTACCTATTCTATTCTATTATTAAATCAATTATTCTTCCACTTCTTACATGTCATTGGAAGAACTTAAGCAATGACCTTTTATTCCTCATTTACACCTGGTACTTCATCCTTGGCGTCTCTTCTCCCATATTTTAAACTCTATTTGAACTCTTGTTATGTAATGAATGCATTTAAAGCTTCAATTCATATGAAAGGTTACTACATGACATAGCTCTCCATGAAGCAGGTCAGAAGTTATAATGTAAAGTGTTAGAGCTGACTGTCACATCAGAGATTTCTCGAAGGCTGCACGTTGTGTGCATCTTTGCAAAAAACAAACAGGCGACCTCACATGAGTTGTGCAAATGCACACCCACAGCATGTTTGTGGCTTCTCACTCACATCTCATTATGGCTTCCCTTCCTGACTTTATCTCTCCTACTAGAGCCAAATTAAAGTGAGGAGAGCTTTAGTCACAACACGACACTCGAAATGATTTGATGTGATGGTTGATATTTGGCTGTGAGTCACCATGTGTTGGCCACAAAGGGTTTGAAGAAGTATTTCCTGTAGGGTATTGAAATCAGCCACATTACAGTGTGGAAACTTGCAGGCGCCTCATACAGCGACTACTCTAACTGTGTGGGTTTATTACTCATAGTTCTAATTCAAGTCATACATCCTAATACGTTGATCCTTGATATAGGTAAATGTATGTAGGAGACTCTTATATTCAAATCTGTGATCTTTGATCTAAATGAACCCAGCCAACTGTTGGAGCGATACATAAAACAAAGCTTTGTTGTCCCGCAGCCTCTAATGCATCCTATAACCTCTCCCTCCCCCTTTCCAGTCCGTCTGCTAAAGGCAAACATGTATATAAATAAACATGATAAACACAACAACAAATACAAAGACTATCACACATCTATGTGCAATACCACTTCATAATAATAATTATTACTGGCTGCTATTTCGTAGTTAGACAATTTAACTACTGTAATAAATCGCTAATAAATCGCTAATAAAAGCGCAATATACTTGCGCTTGTGCTACTGTTACCCGGCTGCTATCACACTACTTTATTCATGCTACACTTGTTTATTTTAAATACTGTTACTGGTATTTTGTGTTGTCCACCTGGATGTGTATTTTTGTCAACTGTAATTTGTGTAATTTCAATTTGTATCTTTAATATTTTATGCATACCTCCTTATTAATATTTAGCTATTTTTGGCTCTTTACTTTTGCTGTAACAATGTCAATTTCCCCAAATAAAGGAATTCTGATTCTGATGCTGATGATTGTGTTCAGGAATTGGAAAATCGGTTTGACTGACATTTCCCTGATTAGCTTCAGACCAACCCGACGCTTGTGATCTCATTGGTTTTTAGTCCGCAGTGAAACTCACATAAATGCAATGAACAGCAATGAGTTTAAAGTAAGTCAACTTACTTTACTGCTACTGAAAATGTCAAGAGACATCAGTAAATCTATCCAGGTGGCTCCACATTCAATGACATGTTATATATATGTGCATAGGTAGAGGGAATACTCAGATCTTGTACTTGAATATAAGTAAAAGTACCAGTGTAGGAGAGTAGGAATACTCTGTCACAGTAAAAGTCCTGCATTCAAAATGTTCCTCAAGTGAAAGTAGAAAAGTATTCTCATCAAAATAGTAGTGACAGTAAAAGTAGTCGTTGTGCAGATTGGTCCATTTCAGAATAATATATATGATATGTTTTATAATGATTGATCATGAAAGTGTTCTCAAAGCTGGTAAAGGTGCAGCTAGTTTGAATGACTTTGTATACTGCAGGGTAGCTTGTGGATTTACTCCAGGTGGAACTAAAGTCTGATTTAACACTTGAGTATATTGTACTGTAGTAAACGTACAGAGTAACCAAAAATGGTAATACTTGTGTGAAATTACCTCAAAATGGTACTTAAGTACAGTGCTTGAGTAAATGTACTTAGTTACTTCCCACCTCTGTATACTTCAAACATCATCATCATGTTTCCTGTGTTAAGCACAGCTAATGTTTGTGTGGGACATGGAGGCATTAAACATATGTCAGTTTTTAAAATACTGATGTATTTTTAAAATATTATGGTCACATGATCTGTGAACTGTGAATCAGTTATATCAAAATGTGGGCTTTTAAAGAGTTTCATGGAAGTTTAAATGTATATACCGCACTTATCATAGCACTGCCTGTTTTGTAAATGATGAATCTGTACGGAGAATTTAATTGAATGATATATAATATAATAATATATATAATATAACATTTTAATATGTTGGTACTTATGGTATTAGACAGCAAAAGGAAAACCCTTGCACTCCATACACCAGTTCATATTTCAGTGCCAATATGGGGACCAGTTCAACCAAAGAGGGTTCTTTCCTTGACCTTTTGAATCGGTTCTGGTCCATATTTATCAAGTAGTTGTCAAAAAAAGCGAAATTAGAGGCCGGACAGAAAAAACAAACCTCATTCTGAGTAAATGTGTCTCTTTTATCTCTCTTAGACTCCTAGGAGACAGTTTCTGTCTATTTAAAGACATCAGAGGCGCATTTCAGTGGAGGAGCCTGAGCTGGTACAGTTTCATTACATGATATTACATTACTGTTCTATTTTATGTTATTTTACCAAAGCTAACTTACATGTAAAAACCCTACAGCCAATGGGCGTATTCACACCCTCTGCCACAATTCTCATATAATGATTTATTATATGTATATCATACAATTATAGATAATATTTCACTGCTAATGAACTGAACTCAAATTTGACCATAAAACCCATAACACCTTTATGTCTTTTCCACGTTCATTCAAAGATGTTTTAAGGTCATTTGCAGATTATTTAAAGAAAGAAGCTTTGTGATTGCTGTTAATATCCACTATATGAAATATGTAGGCATGTATCAACTGTTCTAAACACATTCTCTAACCCTGCACATATTTCATTTATTTCCTTTCACTCTGTCACGAGCTAGTCAGATGATTTGAGGTTTGCTGTAAAACAGTAAGGTTGGAGCTTACCGTGTCTCATGCAGAAGCTCCTCTTGACTCTGTCTTATTTTTCTCAGTTTCTTCGAGGGAGATACTGTGAAATCATTTAGAGGGGGGGGGTTATTCCACAGGAAATATGGTATTGTGTTTTTTTGGCAACTGAAAGCTTGAGAAAAAGTCAAACAGACCTCGTTGTTAGACGCCTGCACGGCTGTGCTATTCAGGTTTAAAACAAAACAAAAGTTAGAAAAGAGAAAAACAATAAAAGAAAGAAATAGGTGTACTCCACCATCACAAATAAAACATCATGTGTGCATTTTTGGAAAGTTTGAAGAAGTGAAGTTGTAGTTTCAGTTGAACTGTTTGAAAAAATATGTTTATCATCTTACTATGATAATTGTTTAGGTTCACACTCAGCCGGCCTCAGTCTCCGAGCAGGAGGCCCAGACCTCCTCTCGGTATTTGTACCTCAGAGGGAGAGGAGGAAAGGTGAGGCACGGAGCTCTCAGCAAATCACAGCACAATAACAGAGTGCATCGAAAACTGTACACTTTCCAAACGCGCTCTGACAACCTGAGAACATATGGAAAGTATGCTGTTTTACACCAGAGCAAAGCAAACAAGCCATCAGTGCCAACGTTGACACAGCCCTCACTCAATAACACCTTCACCATAAGTTCAGCCTGCTAATGTTCAAACACATGATGACTTCAGCATGCATGCATCAGAAATACATGAATCCTGACACAACATGCCATCATTCTAAGCATTGGTACTGCACACAGATGCAACTTGTTGCATTTATTTTCATTTGAATCAGTCAATAGTAGCGTCTCTATTTAAAGTATAGGGAAAGATGTTGGTCTTAGTTAAATATGTAATAAATAAATATATATGATTGATATAGATGTATATACATATAAATGCATATATACATTTATATATATATTTGATATAAACAAAAATAATAAAACTATTATATATATATTTATGTATATTATATTTATATGTATGTATATTATGTATTACATTATGATCCATAGCAGTAAGTTACTTTGCAAGTATTCATATTACTTTGTTTCAAAATATAATGTCTGAGGTTATAAAGAATAATAACTACTAGGTCTATTTAACATTCTCAAATCAAAGCTATTATTGTTACAAAATGAATCTGAGCATTTTCAGCGAGCTTTAAAGTGAGAAATGAAAATGAAATGTTATTTACAATGAACATTTAAATTCAAATTGAACACTGTATTTGATTTAATTACTTTATTAGATCACTACTTTATGTTATGCACGTATGTTTAACAGGCTAAATGGAATCCAGCCACCAGTTGTTTGATTATCCTCCTGTGGCAACTTTCTCATGTAAAAAACATTACAATAATTTATTCAATATATATATATATTTGTTCTGCAAGTACATTCTATTTGAAATTAATGCTAGCTTTTTTCTAAAGCACAAATGTTCCTCTTGATTGCCGTTATCTACCTTCCATTCATTTCAAGCTGACTGTGAGGCCATTGATCCTGAAGGCGTGTTTCAACCAGTCATTGGCAGGAATACAGAATTCACTTTTTAAATTTCATTTGAAGTCATGTGTTTTGCTGAAGTTGTGATGATTTGTCGATCATATGCGATGTGGACGTGTCCTGGAAACAGTACATCATGTTGTTGCAGCCAGGCATCGGCCGGTGTGAACGGCGTTCTCGTGTGAATATCCGCGAAAGCTTTGATGATCGTACTTTCGGATTCTGCAACTTCAGCACAGGCATACATTTGGCTGCTATTCCGCTGATGACTTTGGGAGTACTGTATGATTCAGAGTGAAAATGATATTGTCGATATGCTAATGATTCACTCCTTCCCTGACAATGTGTTGGATGTGAGGGCCGTGGGGGTGAGTGTCTGTTTTATTAGAGGGCAAACTCTGCCAGGGCCACTGACATTACAATTTAAATTCAGAATTTCAAAGAAAACTTTCTATTTACAGTATAATTATTTTACAGAAGAGTTAAATATGGTAAAAGCTTTACTCTTCTATGGAATGACCTGACCGAAGTCAGTGAATATAACAAGTCTGAACTCGCAGTAGAACTACTCTTGTTTCTAAATGTAGAATTTATTTTTCTTAACACACCTCAACATGTGTGATGTGATGCTGGCATAATACATGTGTTCCCTCATCGGTCCTTATATAAAGCTAGTTTTACCTAATGCAGTCTAACTCCACAATACAACTGCAAACAACCCTTCCATCATGGAGGTCCTCAAGATCAGTTTGTGTTGACAATGTTTGAGAGGTTTTGATCCCACTGTATCACATGTTTGAGACCACCATTGACAATAAATCATGAGTAAGAGCACATTAAATAACTTACAGCCTTTTCAAACCTAAATGACGTAACACTGATCAGTGTCTGGTCCTATTTTTCACAGAGAACTTTATAGTAGCGGGGGTTTTCTGTTTAATCCAGTCAACTGTAGATGCGGGGGGGGGAAGGTGCTGAATATGTACCCACAGCTGTCAGCAATGGGACTTTCCAAGAGATATTGAACAGTGCTTTTTGAACATGCGTGACACCTAATAGAAGGTCTCAAACAATGTGAGCAGTTATTTCTAATAGGAATCATAACCCAAACGAGGACATTTCCATGAATGTGCAGATGATACAATCCAGTCTGGCTGTTTCATAACATTCTTCATACTCCCCTGCAGAACCCACACAATGTATACAGAATGCTAACGAAGGCTTAACGAACACATTATTTTATTTGACATCTTCCTACCAATTATAAACATAATGGTAGATAAACTGAAACTGTTCAGTCTTAGCTATCTGAATATTTGGTTGGATAGCAACAGGACTTTTAAACCTCATACAGGAAAACCATTGTGCAATTGACCATGGAGATATCCTGAATACCACTGTGGCCTGCGTTTTCCTGCAGGGGATAAATACGGCACTCCTCACTGCACTATATTACAAAGTAGCACCTAGAGGAGATCTATAAATGATTTTGTTTCTTTGTGTCTCACATGTTTTATATTTGAACAACATACCACAGTTGATCAGAACAGTTGTAAGTACTGACTTCATGCCCCACCAGCTAATACTGACATTAAATAGAAAGCGTTCCAGCACAATAAATACAATTTTTTTACAAATGTGTGTGAATGCTAAAACAAATATATTTTAAGTACCTACCACAGCTCTAGAATGATTTATTACATCAGTGTAGGAATTCACTCACATTGCCGACGATTAGATGTATTAAACAAAACCTTGACAATAAAATGTGGCATTTCACTCAAAAATATAAAAGCCCCCTCTCCTTGTGATTTGAACTTTGGTAAAACTTCAATGAAATATGAGTTTGCCACGCTTTCTATAAAGTATTTGTTCGAGATGTTTTGAATAAAGAATGCCTCTTTTTAGTTGGAAACTCCTCAGAAATATGATTGTGTGGTGTCAGAACCAGTTGTTCTGTGTAAACCCATCATCTCAGTCATTTTCAGAGTCAACAACCTGAAATGGTACACAAATACATTTGTGGAGAGGAAACATTAACAGCAGTAAGCGGGGGGGAAGCCCAGTAGCATGCTCAGTGACATTCTGACAGGTGTAAACAGCCTGCTGTCAAAGGTCATCTCAGCCATAAGAGTGTCAGCGAGGCACGACAGAAGCCTGAGTCCTTTCAAAACTCCACTTCAGAACGTTTTCTAATTATTTTTAAGCTCATGGGGTGACATTAATTCATAGGACATTATCAGGTGGTGCTGTACTTTATGTGCACCTCTCTTTGCTGTATGTGAAATGTTATGCAGATATTACAAAGCTGAATTACAGCTGAAGCCTGATGAACACAAATATCAAATTTGATGGAGTGTTTTTAGTTGTGTTTGTTTTTTTAATCCATTCATTCTTCTTCCAATATTTTCCAATTTCTTTAGCTCCGTTTTGAAAGCCAAACTTCTGATGCAGAGAATGAAAGTGAAGCTGGATTCTCTCTTTGAACATACAATCCGGTCCTGACAAAAAAAATGCAAAACACAATGTAAATGCTTATTAATAAGCAATGCAATATGTGTGTATTTTACAGAGCCGTGCTGAGCAGGATTACAACAAATTTGTTAATGAGGTCCACATTTATTTTGATTGCTTTGATTTTACGACAAAGTGCGGTAATTCAGAAGTTCAAATATACAGTCAGTGAATGGTGATAACAAAAAAAAACTAAAGTGTATGTAACTATAACTAAAACTATACTGCATGATGTAACACAGTGAATGAGTAACAAGTTCAGTGCGTGCAAAGAAGTTATGCAAATCGTGTTTTCATTGTGATGACAGGTCTGGAAACAAAGAAAAAGCAAAGTGTGAAACGGTTTCATGTTTTACTTTTCAATCACATAGTCAGCATGTCAGAAGTCAAGGAATCTATAAAGATATGGTTATTGAAAACATTTTTTTTCTTCAAAGAATAAAGTGATTCACAGTTTAGTCCACATTATCTGTCCCCATCAAGCACCTCTTTTCACACTGCATTGCACACATTTACATACCTTTTCATTTAATTTCATAACCTCATAAACCCAACATTAGCGCTTATTTGGTTTCTTTGATGACCTTACCAGTGTGAAAGACTTGTGCCAGGTTATAATAATGATAATAATAAACTGTATTTACAAAGCACCTTTCAAACAAGGTCACCTATCATGCAAAGAAAAAGGCACTTTTCTATGTCTTTTATACATAAGTATGTGTCCCCGGTGTGTAAGGAGACTCACAAAGTGTCAGAAAATAAAACCCTCTCTCTTTTCCTCCTTACCCACATCTCTAAAAATGGGGCTCCATTGTACCCCCTTTTTTCTTGATGTCATTACTAAAATGTGGACTGGCTTTACGTTGAACTCCTGGCAACGTCCCGCCCACGTCCCAACCTATCGTCTCAATAGAGTGGTGCAGTGACGAGTCCTAAAACCCGGAAGTGAGTTAACATTTTACCACTACTGGTTCCCTCGTCTTAGAGTCAATGGAATTTCTCCATAGGATTTTGGAAAATATCTGGAAATAAGGTCTGTGGTTGACACACATTTAAGAGACGGATCACGTTTTGTTCTACGACATTAAATACATCAGCAGTTACCCCACTTGTGATCTCTGTGTTACGGCCTAGAGATATTGGACCCCAAAGCAAAAGACTTAGAGAGAGAGATGGTCAAAAACAAAAAGTTTATTTTAAGCAGCATTGGAGGCGGGAAGCTGGCTGGCACGGAGACAGAAAGGACAGGAGACAAAAATCCAGGCGACGAGATCACAGGGACGAGGAGAACATCGAGACACACCGGAGGGTCGAACACAACGGAATTATCTGGCAGGGAAGTGACATGAGGACCGGACTTTTATGTCAACAGGTTGAAGAGGTGAGTGAAAACAGGTGTGCCTCGTCTGCTGCTGGGAGGAGCCAGCCAACTCCCTGAGTGTTT